TACAGGCCATAAAGCGGTGCAGTTAAAAGCTTATCTTAACGAAGCATTCCACTACATACCATGCAATCCAGGCCGTTGTTATGATTATTATTGAAGTAATATCTGACGAGCTTATGGACTAGATTTGTTATAACTAGTAATACAAAGATAGAACACAGACAAAAATTCTATCGATTGGGAACAGCGTCTTCTAAACCATGCTAGACTACTTCACGGAACTCCAACTAAACCACGGAACGAACAAGTGGACCTTACGAATTTTTCTATGACTATTTCTCAAAATATTTATACATTTACACGAAAAGGGGCGTGTTCTGTGTAAGTATGTAACGAAATAGCATTTATCTAATAAATAGTTGGCATTTTAAAATCGCACAATCGGCCAATTGACCCAAACTACAATTTTATTTTTAGGAATGACTCCAAAACCAAACTGAATTGATGAACGATGAAGATAATATCTACCTTTAGATTTTTAAATACCAATATAATTTTGTGATTTAAGTAAGAAACCAAACTGTATTTTCAAAAATAATATTAGTTTTAAGAAAAAATATATTTCAATATTATTTATTATTTGCTTTTTGCCATATTAATTTATTTATTGCCTACTATTACTTAATGCCATAGTGATTAAATCAATTATATTTTGCCAATGTACAATAAGTTTAATGTAATTTTTCTTTTTGTACTATTTTGTAACATGCTTTTCGTTACGTACAATTATTTTGAGAAATAGTCCTATGTGCTTGTTGCAGATCTCTGTTTTTTGATATTTTGTCCCGTAGCGCCATCTGTGAGAAATCTATTTCTTCACTCAGCCAGGTTCAGCTGACCAGAGATGTCGCTATAATAACTGTAATTAAATTTATTGAATGCCCAAGATGTTTCGCCGCGATGGCATTCATTTAAATTTTTTTTTGGAAATTACTCCACTAGTTAATTAAACTTAATTATGGACTTGAGTTTAAACTTATCCTGGACATGCATCATAATTTATATATGATTTTAACCGACTCCAAAAAAGGAGGGGGTTCTCAATTCGTATATAAAATACTATATATAATTTGTGAACCGATTTTGATGATTCTTTTTTGATGCAAAGAGCATACCTCAGAAGCAGTGTCATTTAAATTTGAAGAAAATATTCCACACCTAAGGGCGGCAAACTAGGGATTGAATGACTTTTGAGGTCGGGTTTTTAGTACTCTGAGATTACAAAATCTTAGCGTCTTGGAAAATTATGGCTTTTGAAGGGAAGGCTAGTCTGGGACGTAAAAAGCCCAAAACGTTTGTTTTTGATATCTGGTTTTTAACATAGATTAATGTCGCCTGTTTAACATTAGGTTGTTGTACTACTATTCAGCTGTACACACACTGCATTGTCATAATTGTCAACCTATATACGTTCGATTGTTGAACACGGATCCCACTGGAGTAGTAACGCTGGCACTTCACTTTGTTTCACGCATACCATGATGAACAATTGGTAGCAGTAGCACTCCTTATGAAAGAGTCCGTCCAGGGAATTACTACCACCTTACCTATTTCTGCCGCCAAGCAGTAATGTCAGCATTACTGTGTTCCGGTTTTGAAGGTGCTGTAGATGTTACAGGCACATGGGACTTGTCTGTCTCAAGATGACTGACGCCGTGGCAGTACCTATGAGTAGCACTGCAACAGTCATGTAGCTTGCCACCATACTCACGCATGTTCGTCCCGTCACATAGTGTCAAAAAAAGTAGGTCACTGCGTCCCGACATAACCCCTAAATATAACTCTAATTTAGCCACTGTAAGGAAACTGTACATCACTCAAACTATAATCCAACATTTTTTTTAGGAATGACATTATGGTACAAGTACCTAAAGTAAGTACAACATTTGTAAACTGACAATTCAACAAGCGATCGGCCCGTTTGTATAATTTAATTAATAAGGAATTATTATATTTCGCCAAAAGTTATAGAGACTGCTAGAAACTTATATCAAAATGGGTACAGTCCAAATCGTACGAGGAAACTGGAGATCTACTGGAACACTTGCTTTAAAAAACACTACTCTCGTCGTCTATGGCAACAGCAACACACACATTCTAAGATTCAAATTAAATTTGAAATTTAAAGTTAAGAATGACTTCTTTTGGGATTGTTTGGATATGTAAAAATTTAAATTAAACACCAAATTATAAGTTAAAAATTATGTGCATTTTTAGGTATGGAAGAGCGGTGCCTCCTGACATAGGCTTGATAAGCTTAATAGGAGGTACTATAGCATAGGAACGTACGCTTGGGCTTGCGTAGCGAGAAGTACTTTATAAATATAAGCGACGATTATATCATAATTATAACTTTATACGTGTATTTAATTTCGAAGCAATGTCCAGAACCCCTAGATGTCTGTTTGATATCAACACTCTATTATTCTTACAATTCTAAATACAAAACCGAAGCTGCCTGCTACAGTACCATCCACTGTAAAGAGGGAGCATAAAAAAAAAGTTTTGACGTTGGGTCCGCCCAAATTTGTGAAACAAATATATGCATGAAGTTCGCGTGACATGCGACAGGAGATGTTGAATTTTGCGCATTAAAAGTACCAAATTCGTTTTAGCGGAATAACTCTAAAAAAAATCCGTAGTGACAGTTGTTGATCATGCATAAATATGATTAATTATCTAATTTATGTCCTATAAAACTGTAGCATTTCGAGGATAAATCGAAAAAACGTGAAAATTAGAGGTCATTTCGTGATTTTTATCTATCGAGGAAACTTTATTGTTTTATGTTTCTGATTAATGTCTATGCTTGAATATATCGTGTAGTTACTCATACAATATTTTATTTTTAACTTTAAAGTGGATATACCCCTCTAAAATCAAATCGAAGATTAGGAATTTTTCCTCTGCTCCCTCTATAAAGTTATTTTATATTTTATAGCTAGTTATTAAAGTTTATTTATTTATTTATATAACCCAACTATGTTATCACTGCATTTATACTAGCTATGCGCTAACACTAATTATAAAATAACCACATAGCTCATTGCTTATGTGAAAGCGTACTTGCACTTTCTACATTGACAATCGTCGCTTAGATGGTTCCCACAGATGATGAAAGAGTTAATTATTTATTCCGCGTGCCGCCAGTCACACCAATGCGTAACGACTACGTAACAAATATTAGACAATATATATTCACTATGGTTGGGATAATTCGCAACCTCGGATGTAATAAAGCCACATCTGCAAAACAACTTTTCAGGGGACAGGCTTAAAGATTCTACGAACGAAATTAGTTGGTAACTTAATATTATATTTAATATTATTATAATTAAATTATAGTTATAATTATTTAAGCATATTATTAATTAATATCCAAAAGAAAGATAGAAGAAAGATAGATAAAGAAAAATTGAATTGAAAATCCTTTCTATAAAGTTAATAAAATATTATGACCTTATGCTTTCTCAAAATGCTGATTATTTTATTTCATTTAATGTATCTATTAATAATTTATTAAGCGTTAATTTCATAACAACATATTTATATTAAATTTATATTTAATTGAGTGTGTATATGCAAATCTTTGAATTTTGCTATGTACTCGTAAAACATTGTGTTAATAGTGAATGACTAGCATAATGTGTTTTGTATTGTTGACGTGGCTTGACTTATATACAAATATACTTAAACATTTTTTTGGGAGTGCAACCGCTACAGAGTTACACAACAGTGGAACAGCGTCCAAATTAACAAAACAATGCGTGAAGGCATGCCACGCCACTGTTGTGCCGTGACGTACCGTGTTATGTTGATCATATCTGCAGCTGCCGTTTAATTGCCAGGAAGTGTTTGGCAGTCATTGTCTATCACCCTTGGGGCACGGACACGCGATTTAGGCATATTTTTCAACCTGTAATAATGCAGGATTAGAAATTACCAAGATATTTATTTTCTTTCATAATTATTGTAATGATAATTATCAAAGCTAATTAATTATCTTTTATAAATAATTTAAGATGATAGTTATCCGATCTATATGCGCTGATATTCTTGCTGATTCATAATTTTATCTCTTTAATTTTCGATTAAAAATGACAAATAATAAGAAAACTAAATAAACTCGAAGAAAAATCTTCAGAAAAAATATTTGGTTTGTAACTGTTCGAGATTGACAATTGACACGTTTTGCATGTTTCCGATACAAACACGTGGTATATTTCGTCAAGATAATTATTGTAGTGATTATAATAATTATTATCAATGATAAATTATCACTTATAACCCTGTAATTGCATGATATAGAACCATACCAGTCAACTGGTTTTAAACTAGACAATTCACTGCACTGTGACTACCAGATAAACGGAGACATCTCTTGAGCACTAACCAAAACACCGTGACCAGAATTAATATCGTACCGTTCATTTCTGTTACGGATGTCATAATCTATAACGCCCTTTGTGGCAAGCGCTGGGACACAGAGATCTTAGCTTGTGACTAGCATCTTGATAATAGGCAACTTAAGACGCGATCTACTCATACAAAATGGCGCGGACAATCGCACATTTGCATGGGACCACATCTTATATCGCGAAATTCATTATTTTTAACAACCTGTTTTTTTCGCCCTATAAAAATGATGTAGTCATTTGTTGAACTTCTTTAGTTTATTTGTGATTATGAAACACAAATATTAAATACAAACCTATTATTCACTAACTAGCCAGCGCCACTAATAGGTACTCCGGAATGAGAGAGACTTTCAAAACTACATAGCGTTTAGGATTCAATGGGCAAAAACATATCCCTTCGCCGAATGTGTTCCCTTCTAACAAGTCTCCAGTAGCGTCCTGATAAGAGATCCGTGGCTTCTTGATTGCTCCATAAGGTCGCTAATTAGCTTATAGCACGAAGGGCTTAGAGCCTTGATATTTATGATTATTTGTTCAGCATATTGCATTATTATTTATTTCACTGATAAAAACCTTTATTTACAGATGAAGGAGTCACAAAAACATTCACATGCGCACGTCCACTAGTCGGGCAACATGTTTTCCTGCAGCTAGTCGGCGTGGAAGGATCGCTCTCACTTTGTGAAGTTGAAGTCTTCACCACGGAAGGTATTCCCGGTCGCCTTTCATTTGTTTCAATTCAGACTTTACGTCTATTGCACATTTTTGCGAATTGTATGTATAAATTGTAGAGTTCTCGAACGATCGATGCGCGCCACCCGGGGCCCCAGCGGAAATCGAGCTGGCAGCCTTCTCCAGAAGCTGCTACGAGTTCAATGTTAACAAGGGTGCTTCTTTCGAAGATGCCCGCAGACAGTGCAAAGCGCACGGTGGGGACCTTATTCATGGCTTCCAGGTAAGCATCGAATGCCTTCTCCGTAATAGCCTTAAATGAAAATAACACTTTGACGTGAAGAATTGAACTTATATATTCCAACCAATCAATTATTTAAACCGATTTGATATACGTACGAAGCATGACTGTAATCTACCGATTTCAGTATTTTTTTTATTGTTTCCTATTGAGATCTAGTACGACAAATTGTCAAATTATTAGTTTCGACCGCGTAACATTAATCTTCGAAGATCTGTCAAAGTCAGCCTTTTCCACAATATGGTAGCAAGTTTTACTTCCATTTTGTCAATGTAAATTTAGAGAAAACAATTGAAAATGGTTAGAGAAAATGAAATCTTTTGAATACAATAGAGAACAGAAGCGGAAAATGTTTGAACATTGCGTAATGTTGTTACGTAATGACAAAATTTTAACAATTGTAATTGAGGGGAAGATACAAGGGAAAAGAAAGAGAACAAATAAAGAAGACGATCAAAGTGAAGAGCTACAGACAGGTCAAGGAGCTGACTATGAAGCAGGGCTGTTGCAAATATCAGCATCTGCATTCATCGACGTTGATATTCACGGCGGATGTTTGAGTGGTGACGTGACCTAAAAGGCGCGCTGGAATAATTTACAAACTTTCCAGATTCAGACTGTAAGCCGAAAAAGCATCTCAGCTGAATGAATGAATGAATGATATATTCTTTATTGAACATAAAATTACAGTTAAAATACTATGCAGAAACTTAGGTATAAAAATAGTAAGACGATGTGCAAAATTTGGGACGTGCAAAAGGGGCAACCAAAGAATATCATTATAAGTACGCTACATAATAATTATTAATAAACTCATATACATAGATAGAAATATCCATACAAATATTATTAATACATAACAATACATAAATCATAATATTAAATCCTTATATGCTTTAAATGGAAAAATAAAATTGAAATAATAAGTATAGGAAATAAAAAAAGGATAGCGGACAAAACTTAGGAGTTGAGGAAGAGATCCTTGACACGTCGTTTGAAGGAATCATAACAAGGGGAACTTTGAATAGATTCGGGGAGAGAATTCTACAGTCTTATCGCAGACACAGTAAAAGAGTTGGAATAAAAATTAGAGGTATGTTTAGTAAGAGAGTATCACAGACGCGAAGGGGATGACAGAGTGTAGAAGAGTGGAAAATAAAGTGATCTTTGAGATAAGAAGGCGTAAAGGGTACAAAATAAAATTGAGTAAAGAATGGAAAGAATATGAAGATCTCTACACTGCACGCTGGTGGAAGGGTAGCCATTTAAGTTGTGCACGAAGTTGGGAGACATGGTCAAATTTACGAAGTCCGAAGATCAATCTCCTATACATATTTTGGAGCTGTTCCAATTTATTGAGCAGGGTGACTGACAAATCCGGGTAGCAAACATCTGTGTAGTCCAGTATCGGATGGAGAATGCTTTGGGCCAAAGTAATTTTAGTTTTATTGGGCAAAAAGTTTTTAAGCCTTCTCAGGGAAAAATGCGCACCAAACACCTTCCTGCTAACCTCAGCAACGTGCGGCTTCCAAGTGAGACATTTATCGAAAATTAATCCCAAATTCCTTACTGTGTCCAAAATATAACTGCTGTTGTTTTAAAAATATAACTTGATAAAATTTTAGAACGATTAATCTAGGCAGATTGATTGTTTCGTGCAAATCGTTATTTTTGTTAATAAATGTCACAAAATCATTGAGATAATATTTTGTTACAATATCAAAGAAAATAGAAAGCTGTTTCAAGTAGATAGATTCAGTGAGGGTATACATTTTTCGCGTTTTTTTTAAATAAATATGCATCAGCTTCCGCTCATGTGTAAAAACTATATCAGCAACAACCCTGCTATGAAGTGTGAGGAGTAGAGGATACCAATATGAGCCTGGCTCTTAAATGAGGTGACGAGATAGCTAAATCTCTATCTTACTCTACCTTTTTTTTTACACTGGTATTTAATTTTTCCTTCTATTCAAGCGAAGACCTTGTGCCGACCTGGTAATCGTTCTCGCCACTGTGCTATTACTGTATACACATCTCAATTAGCATTGATAAGTATCGACCCTGTCATCTATTGTGTCGTTGATACTCTCCCACTATTCAAATAGCGCATTATACATTGTAATTAGAGAAAACGATAATTTCCATACCTTGAGAATCTTTTAGATATCTTTTGCCGGTGCCGACGCCAACGCCTTTTGTTTTCGAGGCGATATATGCAAGAATATCTTTATTCTTGCATACATCCATGTATATGCCAACACAAAAATAAACAGTTCTTCAATGACGAACACCCGCGTCACCGCGCACCGGACGACCCTCTGTGGTTAGACTCCCACCAGGTGGACCGACGATCTGATAAAGGTCGCGGGAAGCCGATGGATGCGGGCAGCGCAGGACCGATCGTCGTGGAGATCGTTGGGGGAGGCCTATGCCCAGCAGTGGGCGTCGTTTGGCTGAATAATGATAATGATGATTAGCAAAGTGATTATTAACAAAAAATCAATCTGCATGAAGCTTCGTCAACATTCTATAACACATATCTTTTAAATTAGTTCAATGAGATTTTCAATGAACCATTTATGTTTGATCTGTTAGCCATTCTTGCTCAGCTCCGTAGAAAGGTTATTATTGTAAATATCCATCAAAGGGAAAGTTGTAGACCACACATTATTAAAGGGAACATGCTAACCCTTCCGTCCCTTTATATCATGGAAGTAGCATTATTTGTCCGTAAGCAACCAACATATTTTGAATTTAATAAAAATCACTGTTGCCAGTATGACCTGTATTTTTTTTTGTCGCTGGGAAGTGCATTACGCATACCACTCGGTGCGGGGGAGCAGGAGACGTGTAACCTACATTTTATTAGAAATATACAGAAACAGTCCATTGTAGAAATCTATTTTAATTTATAATAAAATTTCATTGTTAATCAAAAACAAAATGACAGTAACACATTTAAAAATAAACAATTTCTCACAAAAAATCATACTATTCTATAAATGAATTTTTAACTGAAAAATAAATCACAACTCATGAAAAGCTCACGTTGATCTCATTTATGAATTAAGTATAATGTCTAATAATGTAATAACTAGTTTTTAAGTCTCTTTGTTGCACGCTAACCGGATCATGTACTATACTAAATTTATTTTACTGCAATAGGGAATTAAAAAAGAGAATAATTTAATCAAGTCTCCAAAAACAACTATTGCCAAAGGAAATGTAATCAGTATACGATCCAGTGCCTGTAACTGACACCATTAAATGTAATATGGGATCCGATGTCTTTCAATAAATTACGTAAGAGTTATTTCTGTATGATATCAAGTGACGGGACGAACAAGGACGCGCATCTAGTGGTAAGCGACACGCCCGTCCATAACAGTTGCAGTGCCACTCAGAGCTTTGAATCGCAAAGATCAGAGAAGCACTGACATTGCGCTCGTCACCACGAGACATAAGTTAACAAGTCCTATGAACCTTTAATTTGACCAGCACTAGGTAAGGTTGTGCTCAGGTATCCTCCATTGTACTGTAGGCTTAGTTATATTATATATCTCTTCCATTCCCTCAGAGATTTTTCAAAAATAAAATATAAAAACTTTTCACATCAGAATTTTCATGTAAGGCGATCGTATCCCACTTGTTAGGCGAACTCCACCATTTGTAACCTGGGGACGTAGCTTAGGATGCGTAGCGAGAAGTACTTTATAAATATAAACTGGGATAATCTTCATAATTAGTTATTTATCGTATTTTTCATATTTTCACTTATAGAGGCTACTTTTACATCTGCCAAGATGTTCTTCTTTTTCTATCCCATTGACTTACAATTATATGGACGTCGGGTCCGCGCTAAAAAGTGTCCGAACTTATAGGGCGTTAAAATCGTATACAGAGCGTCATTCACGCTTTAGTCTTCGTTTGTTCGACTAACAGCGAAGCAAGCAAAATTAGACAATACTGCGATGACATTACAATTTCAATTCAACGTTTTAGCTTTTTCATATTCCTTTACATGTCACTACGTTTAAATAGATTGACTTGGGTTTTTTTTCGTGGTTTTTGTATTAGACCCGTCGTCCATTTATTTGTAAGTCAATGTTCTATCCTATTTTTTTAAACACATTCTAAATACAAAACTATATTCACTCAGCCAGTAGTTCTACTCATAGAGTAGAACCTAGACTACAGTACTGTGATCTGTTTCAGGGAGCGACATCGAGTTTTCTAATCCAAGAGCTAGACCGCCGCAAGTCACAGCTGAAGACTCAACTCGTGTGGATTGGAGCGCAGAAGGAGCCGGGGCTCACATCTAGGACTTGGAAATGGGTTGATGGTAAGGCAGTTCACATATAAAAATTTTATTAAATTTAAATGATCATTTCAAATTTACAAAAGCAGCAGGGAAAATCATCTACACGGTTATCTTTTTTACCTACTTCTCTGAGACATAAAGTAAATTAAATCAATGGATATTTTAATCTGCTCTGAGCTACGCAAAAAATGTTTGATTTGTATAAATTAGCTTTCATAGTTCGTGTTGGGCTTTAAAACTAAGACAAATAAGCATTAACAATAAAATTTAGATATTTTTTATAATTCGATTTACTAAAATACTCTTTTTTATTTACTAAAATATTTGTGTATTAATATTATATTAATTATAATTTGACCTGAAACCATGTTCGGAAACGCAAGCAAAATCTGTGACTCGTTGGCCGCTGCCGCAGCACTCTCGTGCTACCATTTCATATACTAACCTAAACTACTGAATGGAGGACGCAACCAAGATTTGACCTATATGAAAAAACAGGATGAAATACTATTTTTGAATATCAAATATTAATTTAGTGTGCTTAAACATAATGATAGTGTTACCCTGAATGCAGTCCATTTATAATATAATATATTTATAGTTCATTTATAACTATTAATATATATACATCACACTTAAAAAAATATCGTTTATTTAAAAAAGTGCACACTTACAATCGATTACATTTTTGACGATCAAATAATATTATTTCTTTTATAATATTCCTAGAATACTGGTTAGTGATCATTGTCAATCAGCAATGTAGATATAGATTTAAGTAATATAATAATACAAGCAGATGTCATCTGCCCAGTTCCTGGGATTTATGCCCCTCATAAAAAGATTTGGAATAATAATTGTATTATACGAACAGTTTCTTATTCTGAATCGTCTTTCAGGTGACGTGGTATCGCGCCCGGCATGGGGCAAAGATCAGCCGAACAACTACAATAGTGAACAGAACTGCGTTGTGCTCGATGGGGGAAGATCTTGGCTGTGGAACGATGTGGGCTGCAACCTTGACTACCTGCACTGGATCTGCCAGTACCGTGAGTGTCATCTATAGGTACATATCAGGTTTTTATTGAACTGCACAAGCGAATGTTGCAGATGCGGCTGTTGTGTCAATTTCAACTATGACATTATTGTTTTAGAGTTGGTGTAAGGACCTGCAAATGAACCTTTGTGGTGTAATCTGTGTAGACCGCTCCCAACCAGTTAGTGATTTTAAAATAGTAACCTTTATATTGATATTGAAACAATTTAACCTTGATATTGAAACTAGCTTATGCCCGCGATTTCGTCTACTGTACTATACTAATTTTCATAGTTTTATTGTTCCTCCTACAAAGTTTCATCCCCGATTTCACCTTTTTTAAGATTTATTTTTTGACAAAATGTAGACAATGCATTTTTCCTAGATCCCGTCTATCTGTATATCAAAATTCATCGAAATTAGTACAGCGAGTTAGGCTGAAAAGTTACTTTTGCATTTTTATCATTAGTTTGGCTAAATAAGAATTAGACGCAACGTAGCAACTAAATTAACATTTTTAACATCGACTTAGCTTAGCTCACCTTCGACGAGGGCAGTGGCAGTGCCCCTCGGATCTTTGGGATTTAAAGCTCTGAGTGGCACTGCAACTGTTATGGACAGGCGTGTCGCTTACCATCAGGCGCTGGACTTGTTCGTCCCGTCACTTGATATTGTAAAAAAAATACGTTTACTTTGCTTAATCTACTCAATGTATTAGACACGAATGTTATTGTTTTTCCAATCTGACGAGGTAAGATATAAATAACATGCTACATGTTTTAGTTCTGCAATAAGGACATTTTGCTTTAAAGTGCGAATCAATCAAACCGTTCATTACGAATATACACCAAATTCCAACATAATTTAATCATATAATGATTACTTTTAAGAGAAATAGTTTATTAAGTTGACGAGAATGTGTATAATAATGGGTAACCTATCACAAAGTCGAAAATATTTTGTCCGAAATAACGTTTGTTCGAACTTTCATTACACCAAAAACCGAATTATAACGAAATATATCATATTATATATATTATATAATATGATATATTTCGTTATAATTCGGTTATATAGTATATTATAGTTCTTTCTGGATATGTTGAATGTTTATCGCAAAGACACGATTACATTCGGTTAGGTTTAAAAGAAAAAACATTTTCCTCTCAAAACTACTTCCGAGGTTATGAAATTTCGACCTAACGTTATTTCTGGAAAATGTCTTTTCGAGCTAATGATAAGTAACCGTAATATCTTCTTTCACCGTATAGCTCTTTTCTTAAACTTTAAAGAAGTCCGTGTAGCAATATTTACACAATGGTACTGAGTACCTCAGCAAGACAGTCCATAAGGACTAAAACGATATGTGGTGGCGCAGCCAAAGTTTCTATAAGAGACTTTAATATCGACAACAGTTATTACCGTTACGCGTGAAGCAGGCTTACACTGGAGCAACATCACTCTAAGCTTGTCGGTTGTTTGCTTGCAGGGTCTTAAATATTAAAACAATAGCTTAACGACGAAACTGTCTGATGAAAACTGATCCAGTACTTTTTATAGGTATCTGCATCTTTGCGTAGCTTCCATTTATGGCGGGGAAATGTGACAAAAGATCAGTGTGATGTAGGTCAGCGGACTGACATGAGCTGCGCCGTCTCTTTGCATCTTATCTTTAACATTATATTAATAGAATAATATCGTAAAGTAGGTTAAATGCAGAATAGAAAGTATTTTATAACAGAGATTTAAACTATCAATAGGACTAGCTTGCCCATGGTTTCACTTCGACACAGGTCGCTTAATAAAGTTACCCTTATATTTAATTGTGTCTACTCACGTTAAATTGTCCAAACCGGGATGTTTTTCAGTAACAATACCAAAAAGCCACCTGCCAGGTGGGAGGTCGTCTTCTTTGACAAGCACAATACTTCCAACTTCAGGTTCTGGGATTTGGTCTGACCATTTATATCTGTGCTGCAGCTGCGTCAAATATTCATGAGACCATCTACGCCAAAAATCCTGGACCATATGTCGAGTAAGAGATTTTTTGAGATTGCTAATGTTGGCATGTTCATAATTAATGTCGGGTACGAGCACTAATGGCTCTCCTACTAGGAAATGTCCGGGTGTTAAAGGATTTGGATCGCCTGGATTATTAGATAACTGAGAAATAGACCTTGAATTTAAGCATGCCTCAATTTGTGACAAGGTTGTTGTCATTTCTTCAAATGTGAGGGTGCTATTGTCTATGACCCGCTTGAGATGGTGCTTGGTTGACTTCACGCCCGCTTCCCACAATCCTCCAAATTTTGGAGAATGGGGGGGGGGGGATGAAGTGCCAATTAGTGCCATTTGAAGACATCCAATCCGCGATTTCAGCCACAACACTAGACCTTTCCGCATCCAACCATCCAACAGTTTCTTTAATTCCCTAACGCTTCCCACAAAGGTAGTGCCATTATCACTCCACAAATCTGCAACATGACCCCTTCGTGCAACAAACCTTTTAAATGCAGCCAAAAAGGTTTGTGCAGTCATATCACTGACCATTTCGAGGTGTATGGCTTTTGTGGCCATACACACAAACAGGCATATATAGCCCTTTGTGGAGTGATAACCGCGACCCTTTGAAAGGCGCACGCTGATTGGGCCAGCATAGTCTACGCCACATCTGTGGAAAGGTCTATGTGCGGTCACCCTTGATATGGGCAACTGTCCCATCATTTGTTGGCTCGTTTGAGCATAGTGGTGGACGCAAGTCACACATTTGTGCACAAACCGACGAACGAGACTCTTTGCACTAATAATCCAATACGGGTTTCTCAAATAGTGAAGCATTAATTGAGGTCCTCCATGGAACGTAGTCCTATGTGCTTCGTCAATCACTAATTGTGCCAAGATCTTCGAGACAGATTCTAGTACACAAGTTTTATTAGCAAGCTTTCATGATAGTCTTTGTAACTCTTGATATCCGTAATTTATCAAATTGTTTAGAAAATGTTCTCCTACCCAATAGCAGTTCAAACGCGGATATTGACAAATACATCATAACAGGCTATTTTAACCTGCCCTTTATTCAATGGGAAAACGGTGAGTGCATACTCACCGTTTTTCTTGTCAAAAGGGTGAATCATTGGAACTCCGAGAATTGAGTTGAAGCTTAGTTAATACCTTTACATTACACGGTCTTATACAATAATTTTAGAAACTCGAGTGATAATGTCCTCGACTTAGTTTTTGATAATTTCAGTATCGAAGTAAATATTGTTGAGCATCCTTTATCCAAAGTGGACATTTAATCATCCACCATTGCATATATGCGCCTCTGATATTACTATTCCACCTTTTATTAATGTCATGATAACTAAGATCTTATATCACAAGATAAACTACAACAGAATTAACGAAATACTATGTGATACTGATTGGCATACTGAAATAGATAATAGGAATGTCAATGATGCTTTCGAATTCTTTTACGAAACACTTTATGAATGTATACACAAAAACATTCTTACAAAAATTGTTAAAAGTAGAAAAAAAGCATACCCCTCTTGGTACTCTAAGAGCCTGGTCAATATTATACGGGAAAAATACAAAGCGCAAAAAATGTGGAAAAAATATGGTAATAGACGAGATTATGAAGAATTTTCATTGCTTAGAGTACATGCTGCATGTTATAGTAATTTCATCTTCACGGTTCAGAACTCAATTAGGAAAGATCCCAAAAGGTTTGGCCCTTTGTGAAATCCAGGAGGGGGTGTAATAGTTATTCTCAATCTTTCACCTACGATAATAAGATTCTGCACGAAGGTCCAGATATAGCTAACTATAGCTAACGCTTTTAATAGATATTTTCACAGCACGTTCAGCAGTTCAATCAATAACTATTGCCCTAAAGAGCTATTACCACCTCAAAACTTGAGTGCTGGTAGTATAACTGCACTGCTTGTGGAAGAAATGCAACAGTTTAAATTATTGCGTAATATTGACCCTAACAAAGGCGCTGGGGTTGACAATATACCTCCAATCTTTGCAAATGTCCCAAGTCTTTGACACGCTCTTTGACTTTGATTATTAATAAATCTATAAGTGAAGGTGTTTTTCCTGACAAATGGAAAGTGGCAAGAATTGTTCCAGTTTACAAAAAAGGCCTCTCGACCAAAATAGAAACTTATAGATCAATATCTATTCTAAACGTCTTTACTAAAATCTTTGAAAAACTTGTGTACAGCGCTATCTATCCACGGATTGCCCATAGCGTTCCTCACGAACAGCGTGGCTTCTTGAAAGGTAGATGTACAATCACGAACTTGACTCTATTTTCCAAATTTGTAAGAAGGAGTATGGAGTCCAGAAGTCAGATCGATGTGGTATATATAGACTTCAAGGAAGCATTCGATCGGGTTGATCATTATATCCTTTTATCAAAACTCCACGTCCTGGGGATACATGGGAGTCTTTTGCGGTGGGTGAAGTCCTATGTCACCAATAGACCTCAAATGGTTGTCATCGGCGGCTACAGATCGGACTATGTAAATATACCCTCTGGTATGCCCCAGGTACCGGTCCTGGGTCCATTATTCTGTAATACCTTTTTATATGACATATATACTTGCATAACGCACTCAACATTTCTTATATACGCCGATGATACAAAAATATATCGCGCAATAAAATCTGGAAATGACACCATGTATCTCCGAACGATATTAATTGTTTAGTCGAATTTTATAAGAAAACCCGTATAACAGTTAATTTCAATAAATGTCAAGTAATATCTTTCAGTCATAGCCCTTGTCCTATAAAGCACATATATACTATGAATGGTGCTCAGTTGAGTGGAATGGAACTTGTCCGTGACCTAGGTGTTCATTTAGATCACAAATTATATTTTAGTCATCATATTGACACCATAACTAGTAAAGCTAATATATCCCTCGGTTTCGTGATAAGAATGTGCTCCTCATTTCGCGATCATTTCTTAATTTCAAAACTTTTAAGTCATTTTCA